TCACCCACTACAGCTTCACCCAATATTATACCACCAGAAATTAAGCAGTTCTCAGACAATTTATCCACAGTCTCTGTGGATTCTGAAAACCCAATACCTGAAGCTACTAAGTTAACATGCCTCCAAACTAGAGGTGAAGCTGAACCAGTAGTAGAAAATGTAAATGAAAATAGCGACAGCACTAATTTCCCAGTCCAGCTTCCTAGGGATAATGCTGGCAATGAGAAAACTGTCATACATCTAGTACTACAATTGCTGGATTTACCTCAACCTGATCAGACTGCTGACTCATTACAATCCTTCAGCATGGAGTTTGAGTCACTATTAAGAACATTCAGTCTTAAGGTTGATATAACTACTAGTGAATGGATGATCAAAGTAGTCCTTCAACGAAAATTGTCCAGCGATATACTAGATGAATTATATGCACATCAACATAACACCATCCTGACAGTACAGGACATCACTGAAGGTTTACATTCCATCATAAACAAACGACGTGCAAATGAGGAAGTTAAAGCCTCATGCAAGCCTTCAGTAATAGAAAATAATAGTCAATTAAAGGGTAAAATAACTACCCCAAATAAACATCAGTCAATTACACTCGCATCAAGTTGCAGAAAATCTGACAATGCAGCAGCAACCTCCAAGCCTACTGTTACTAGTTCACCCAAACCGGTAACTTCCAAACGTGCAGTAGGCTGGGGGACATGTATGTTCTGCAAAAAGAAACATTCAACATACTGTTGTGCTAATTATCCAACCAGAGACACTCGTATGGAGCGACTCCAGGAATTAGGGAGATGTGCAAGGTGTCTCAAGTCACACAACATAGACTATTGTGATTCCCAATTCAACACCTGCAACAGGTGTAGAAGAGGTAGGCACCATGCAGCACTGTGCAAATATACGAAATTAACGTATTCAAGACCCAAGGTGGAAGATAGCATTCCCACCACAGTATAGTACTGCAAGGTGCAACAAACAAAGAATGTCCAATCGGCAAAGTCTAAAGGTAATACGACTTTGCCTACTGCCCAAATTACCATCCAGAATAAGAGGGCCAAGGTCCATACCCGTGGGTTGTTTGACCAAGGGTCCCAGAGAACATATGTCACTAAAAGGTTGGCAGATGAACTACAATTAAGGCCTGTAGCCCAGACGTCATTCAATATCTCAGGGTTTGTAACAGATGCAGGACCTCAAGTCTACCAGGTGGTACAACCATCAGTACGGTTAGGCAGGTACGTCTGTAGAGTACAAGCCATTGTGGTGGACAAAATACCAGTAGACCTACAAGTTCAAGGTCTGAGAGCAACAGCCAAATTCCTGAAAAATAGAGGAATAAAATTGGCAGGTAATATTAAGTCTGATCACCTCACCGACTTCGGTCTCCTTGTAGGGACAGACTATTGCCATCGATTCATCGGTAGCCCTACTAAATATCAGGGCATAACCATGTTAAATTCTGCAGGAGGTAAATTACTCTCAGGCCCAGTATCAAGCCTGAGGAGACCTATGGCTGCAGATAAACAATACCAATAGAAATCTAAATTTGTCAGCTGATTATATTTCTCCAGTAGCATTATACTAAGGAGATTACAACTGACTATAGTAACAGAGGTTGATGTTAGTATCATCATTTAAAGCTGAAGATGAGTTCATGAGGCCTCAGTGGCAAATCAGTGAACAGTAGTCTAAACAGCTACAAGTCACTGCGTCCAATGTCACTGAACCCACTGCAGTCTCAGAACCATACTTTACTTTAATGATGAACTATTCAATCTTCTGAATCAATTAACTAAATTAAACCCCAATAAATCTGATGACTGATTAGATACATTTATTATTTAATCAAGATGTATTCCATGGGCCTCAGTGTTTATATATCAGTGACCAGTTACCTGAACAAACTTCAAGTTATATCTAATGTCACTGATCTCACTGCAGTCCCTGAATCATACTTGACTGTAGTACTTGATCACATTCAGTCTTCTGGGTTAAATAATATGTAATTAGGCTTGAATTTTAGCCTTTCAAGAGTTAACAGGGAAATGAAATCGCATTAGACTTCTAACCCCTGTAACTCTAGTACGGGACATCCGTCCTGTACGAACAGACACACAAATGTGTGATTACTTACTACTAACTTCAAATTAATCTAATAATCCGAAGGAGGAGTATCGGTGTTCGTCTGTTCTAAATAGGACTTCGACCCGTGAGCAGCCCCCTGGGGAATTATGTCGGAAAATCCGACACCATTTAATATCATACAGGCAGATAATATTGCTGTGTTGTATAAACAAGTTAACCCATAGAAAATGTAACTTGTAGTGGAATTTCCGTCTATAGAAAACAGGATATCATTACCACATACTATTATAAATTCACCACCTATTATGGTGGGAATTATTCTTAAATACATTAGTCTTTGGACTTTACCATCATAAGAACATCTCATATAAATTAACTTAATTATCAGAATTAAAATAGAGTAAATGTGACCCTTCTATCACTTACTGTCATCTGGACAATGTAGGCCAGTAGCGTCAGTGAGGAGGGAGCGGTCAGCCATTGTTATTGTTTAAGACCACAGAGTCGTGGAGCGAATTACGGCTCCTATAAATTCTCTTGGACGAAGTGTTATGGAAGATCAGAGTAGTGATCTGCCATCATCAACACGCTGTCATCAATCTCAAGGGAAGTGTCTTTCCGAAACCCGTTTATCTTTCATTTATGGCCATTTATGTCAGGTAGATATTGGGTGTGCCGGTTAGATCACAAATGATCGACTCAAACAAGGTAATTAAGCCTAGGTCTTTATGGTTCCTTGTACAGTGTTTTCTCTGATATAGCTGTCATATATTAGGATTCTGGCTTCATAGCTAGCGCCCTTTTGACAGGTCAAGACGAGGAAGCATGCTTTGTGTACCAGTTACTGGGTGATGGAAGCTACCTCAAAGAGGATAATTTGGTGTCTACATCCTGGTTATACCTGGTGGACTAAGGCCTGCTGTACAATAAGATAAGAAACCTCTTCAATGTAAACTAATGTGTAGTTAATACTGTAGTTTGATTGGCTGCACATATATAAATTTAATATAAACCCCCCTAATGTGTAGAGGATCGATTTGTGAGATTATTGCAGAAATACAGTCCACTTATCATCATACCAATTGCTATCGAAATATATAAAATAACGTAAATATAAATTCTATATAAATTCATATGACTAGTGTTCCCATGTTATTACATGATATTTGTTTAGTGACATCTAGCTGCTGTGTCTTGTGCTTTTTTGTTAATTTACTTCATTGTTATTTGGTTGTGAGTATGTATTAGATGTTTGTTTATAAATAAGCTGTGTCATGTAGGTAAGTTCGACCCAGTAAACTGGAAGATTTTACTTTGACTTTCACTCTACCCTAGACATATTGCAAATTAATAATTTTAAGCCAGGAAGGTTATTTGCTTCATGAGGGAAAGTTCCTATCCACAAGCCTTGCAGGGGATCATGGCATAACAACCAGCCACTTAGTTCTTACTAGAGAACAATAAAAGTTTTCCAGGATCTAACTCTAAGATCAGTGAAAAAAATGACGTAGATTCCAAATGTTCCTAAAATTGCTGTAAATCCACTCTTGCTCTCTACGTATTTATCAATGTACATTCCGTACAGGAGCGTCAGCCACTGATTTTGAACAACAACAGGGTTCGACGTCAGACATAAGTGAGTATACAAATATTTTTTCTTATTAAGTGCAAGTTACACATTCAAACAAACTTAAATGAAATGGAGATTAGACTTATTGTATTATATAACTGTATTGTTACGCATCATTCAAGTATTCCAGAACTATGTACGTTCCAGACAGGTAGTCCTGAACTATGTAAGCTCCAGACAAGTAGTTTTGAACTATGTAAGCTCCAGACAGGTAGTCCTGAACTATGTAAGCTCCAGACAGGTAGTTTTGAACTATGTAAGCTCCAGACAGGTAGTCCTGAACTATGTAAGCTCCAGACAGGTAGTCCTGAACTATGTAAGCTCCAGACAGGTAGTCCTGAACTATGTAGCTTCAGACAGGTAGTCCTGAACTATGTAGCTTCAGACAGGTAGTCCTGAACTAAAAAAGCTTCAGACAGGTAGTCCAGAGCTACGCTTCATACAGGTACTCCAGAGCTACCTGTAGAGCGTAGTTTGATAACTTCGAACATTTAAACCCCTTAAGAAAGTTGATAAAACATAAAATCGGCTCATAATTTTTAGTTACATTGTTTTCTCATAACAATTCCATGCTGGCTTGGATATGTGAAAAAAGTATTCTTATAATTGTGTTATGGGGCAAAGAATGATTTGGTTTTGCGCTCCAACTTATTCTTACTAATAAACGGATACTTGGCCACAAACGGCGCATATCAGAGCAGAGAAACAAGAAGGAATGAACACTTGAATCACCAGCACGCTTGTAATGAGGTTAAATTTGGCGACCTGCTATTAAAGAGACATTTTGCACTTCAGTTAGTTATGGGATTTCAGACTTCCAGTTGACAGAAAATGAGGATGACATTACCTCTCTCTCAATGTTGTGGTGAATAATACACTGTTTTACATTGTTATCCAACGTTATGTTCTCAGAAAGGTTGATGATCTGTCACTTTATAGATGTAAAGACTCTTGTGTTTAGATTTATCACAAATATTTTAAGAAAGATTTTATATGTATATAACTTAACGAAGTTGTCAAAATATTGCAATTTCGAGCAATGCATTTTGGTTTTTAATGAAGCTTAGTGCAGGATGTCATGCCCTCATTATTTACACACCACTCTAATATTTATTATAAATGTATAAATATTTATTAAAAAAATCAATTTAATTTTATATTTAAAAATTCTTAATTTGATTGACAATATCACTGAAAAATTGTGTAGTTAATAACTTCAGTTTCATAACAAATAAACAAATCAAATATGCATTTTGATGTTAATAAAACTAATCACTATGGATATCACTTGGATTTTTTTGCTAGTACAATATTCATAGACTTCATACAATGTATTATTGCAAGGAAAATCACTGCAATTAAATAAATGGTTGAAATATAAGCTGTAATTGGTATTAAACAGGTTTGAGAGTCTACACCGGTTAACGCCACTGCCATTGTTGGCTCAGTAACGCCTCCTTCCCTGCACAAGTTTGGTAATGAGCTTCAGAAATGTTGTAACTCTGATCAGTGTTTACCTATGCACAAAATATAACCTGGTCAATAGTCTTACTGCTCACAGATTCCGTGTATTGGAGTAAAACAATCTCCATCATTAAAATACAAATGATAATTACTATCAATAAAAAGACAGTTTTGAGAAGTTCCGCCAGTGGGCATTTGGTTATTGCTACAGCCATAGGTGGCCCAGTAAGGCGTGCCCATCTGTATAGGTTCTTGGTTCACCCACAGCCACAGTCCCTCCTGGGCCTCGTCTGTGCCACCGATCCAGTACTGAAGCTCGGGATATCCTGAAGATGTACAAGTAAATAAACAATAAATATATATACGAGAAAAAGCTTGATTGGTCCCCAAGCCGTAAACCAGTATAAACTATGATCCCATCAGGAATCGAACCTGGGAGGAAAAAGATCACTCCTTATTTATGTGTTCATTCTCATATTTGTTTATGCTAAGGAATATTACTTATTGTGTCACATGTGTTGCGGGATCTTAGCTCTCCCTGTCCTGGGTGCCATTGATCACCCTGGGGAGCACCTCAGTCCACTGCGGGGTGGGGTTCCTTCCTGAACCCAGCGTTGCACCCTTAGTAAGTGAAGTAAACTCGATCGTCCTCGGCTTCCGTTTCGAATGACACGGAAGCTTGCGTCCGTCGATCGAGCTGCCCAACAGAAAATTACCCAAACATCATATATATAGCCCACAAGGTCGCCAACTGAGCCCACTGCCATACACGGTTCAGTAATACTTTACTCTGTGGTGGTATTATAAATTCCCCAGTATAGCATCTTATGCAATGGTGCTCAACAAGTCAATTGCTCGAACGATAAAGAAAAATGGAGGAGAGAAAGCAAACACGCTGGTATAAAGTCATAAAGGTTTACCGAGTAATATCTACATAGGCCAAAAGGTGAAAACTTCTACTGCTCAGTAGAAAATACTCCAGGAAAGTCACATCTTGCAACTCTCTCAGCCGTCGCCATGCAAAACTGTCCGTGAATGAACAAATCCACAAGGGCCGTGACGAGGATTCAAACCTACGTCCGAGAGAATCCCAGACGCTGCCTTAATCGACTGAGCTACGACATGGTCAAAAGAATTGGAACAGGGAAATCAACTTGACCTACCACGGATCCTGCCTCTGTGCCTCGCAGACTAGAGAGCTCTCTAGCGCACCTCCGCTCAGTTACGTCCCCGGACGTGACGGCTGGCGGACGCCCGCCAACCTGCTTTGTCATGCTTTGGGCACCACACCATTGGTCAATGATGTCACACATCCAGTACTGACTAATCAACTAGCGGCTGGCGCGGCTCCCACAATGCATCGCATCATTTGCCTCTTCCGGAGGTAAAGCGCACCTACCTCCACCATATTTTCATGGCAGAAAAGCCTAAAGCCATTTTTAAAACTAACAAAAATCATAATTGCCGTCAACCAATAGCTCAGGCATCTCCTTAAATGTACAAAAACTCTTCCCCACGCTACAATGTACAAATCAGAATGATATGACTCTTATAAGCTGGATATAGGAGAAAATAGGGTTGAACTCTATAACCAACCCGTTCTCGCAAATTCGTAAAGTCAATATTGACTTATTAACTACGTGCATAGGTGATATACTAAACATAATAGATACCCTTAAAAAGATTCATAGAAAACACCGACCTTACCTAACCTTGTTAGTATCTTAAGATAAGCATCTTATTGCTTCGTAATTACAATTATTACTTAACCTATACCTATTATAGGTTAGGTAATAATTGTAATTACGAAGCAATAAGATGCTTATTTTAACATACTAAGTAGGTTAGGTAAGGTCGGTGTTTTCTATGAATCTTTTTAAGGGTATCTATTATGTTAAGTATGTCATCTATGCACATATTTAATAAGTCAATATTGACTTATTCAATTTGCGAGAACGGGTTGCTATAACACATGGGAAAAGTTTGTATCTTCATTAGCACAGTCACTTTGGTCAGCCCCGGAGGGCTAGTCTATTGTACTGTGTCACACACCCTGCGAGGGAACATCCATAGCAGCGTGTACAACACCCACCAATACTGTAATCATTACGGCAATTACTGTAACTTTCTGGGAATTTCATTACTGTAATCTGCCATAATCAGTAACATGACCTTAAATATTGACGAGGACCTAAACGTACCGCTGCCGTGTATGTAGCGGATGAGGGCGGAGTATACTTCAGCGTTGTCCAGGATGGCCAGGTCGCCGCCAAGACTCCTACAGTGGGTGCGCATAGTATCCCAGTTACCTGTGTTTGAGACGTCAACATAGAGGCAGCGTCCTCCCACATCATGGAATGGTGACGTGCAGCTGGTGCCTGAAGGACAGATGAAGCGAGTTTAAAGGATCAGAAAGCAGTGATTATAAATGGTCTCTTATTGAGGTGTGGTTACGGACTCACTATAGCCCGTGCTACATGGACACTTATTGAGGTGTGGTTACGGACTCACTATAGCCCGTGCTACATGGACACTTATTGAGGTGTGGTTACGGACTCACTATAGCCCGTGCTACATGGACACTTCGTTCTGCGCAGTTAAATGTAAAACAACAACAACAAACATGGTAAATTTGTCTTTAAGAATGTAAAGAGTGACCTTGCAAAAAGCATCCCTAGGCATCAGATCAAAAATAAAACTTTGGAGAGGTAATTTTTCAACTTCCTCGTCAGTGAAGAAAAACATAAGAAATATTGAAAATTATTCGCGTTAGAATAATAGGAGCTGCCTCGTATGGGCCAATAGACCTTCTGCAGTTACCTTTGTTCTTATGTTCTTATGTTCCTACCCTTTCGGTCATGTTCAACAAGATTTGTTTGCAATAAAGACTGCGACCAAAATATACTAATATATATATATATATATGACTAAGGCACAACTCTCCTAAACACGAGAGTCAAGTATACAACTTTAGAACACTTTCCCACCAGGAGACTCGAACCCTAGCCAGCACAGAAGCCTTCCAGCAACTGGCATAACAGGTACGCCTTAACCCTCTTCACCACCTGCTCAGACCCTTAAAAGAGATGGTAATTTCGGAGTATTTAAATACCACAAAGATCACCACCTCCCAAGAGCACTAGAGCAAGTGAGGGGTCATTTAGACGTTAATTTCATCAAGTCCCTGTTAATATGGGAAGACACAGTGTCTATGCTTAAGGCACAACTCTCCTAAACACGAGAGTCAAGTATACAACTTTAGAACACTTTCCCACCAGGAGACTCGAACCCTAGCCAGCACAGAAGCCTTCCAGCAACTGGCATAACAGGTACGCCTTAACCCTCTTCACCACCTGCTCAGACCCTTAAAAGAGATGGTAATTTCGGAGTATTTAAATACCACAAAGATCACCAGCTCCCAAGAGCACTAGAGCAAGTGAGGGGTCATTTAGACGTTAATTTCATCAAGTCCCTGTTAATATGGGAAGACACAGTGTCTATGCTTAAGGCACAACTCTCCTAAACACGAGAGTCAAGTATACAACTTTAGAACACTTTCCCACCAGGAGACTCGAACCCTAGCCAGCACAGAAGCCTTCCAGCAACTGGCATAACAGGTACGCCTTAACCCTCTTCACCACCTGCTCAGACCCTTAAAAGAGATGGTAATTTCGGAGTATTTAAATACCACAAAGATCACCACCTCCCAAGAGCACTAGAGCAAGTGAGGGGTCATTTAGACGTTAATTTCATCAAGTCCCTGTTAATATGGGAAGACACAGTGTCTATGCTGTGTGTTTAACGTCTAAATGACCCCTCACTTGCTCTAGTGCTCTTGGGAGGTGGTGATCTTTGTGGTATTTAAATACTCCGAAATTACCATCTCTTTTAAGGGTCTGAGCAGGTGGTGAAGAGGGTTAAGGCGTACCTGTTATGCCAGTTGCTGGAAGGCTTCTGTGCTGGCTAGGGTTCGAGTCTCCTGGTGGGAAAGTGTTCTAAAGTTGTATATATATATATATATATATATATATATATATATATATATATATATATATATATATATATATATATATATATATATATCTATATATATATATATATATATATATTATATATATCTATATATATATTATATATATAATGAGGACCAAGTCACTCTCCTAAATCTGGGTATAAACTGTCACGTTATGTCTAGACCAAGTGAGATGGCCAGGAAAGTGGAGTTGGAGATTCTGTTGGACGACATATTCGACCTCGAGACACAAAAGGTCACCACCAAAGGCACCTTACAAGCAGAACATATTGTGGAAGAAGGAAAGAATCGAGGCAACTACAGAAGCACCATACTGTCCCCCGAGCTCAAAGCGGCAGCTAAGAGCCTTCGTGAGAACAAGGAGATAGTCGTCAGGAGAGGTGATAAGTCGCCAATATACGTCATTCTTAAAAAAGACGAATATCTGGCTTCATGAAAATGAACCTCATACTCTCTGACCAAACTAAATTCCAAAGGGTAACGAAGGACACTACAGCCGAATTGAAAGCAAAGGTCAACAAATTGATCGAAACTGTGAACGCCAAGAAATCCGGACTCCACCTGCCAAAGTTTATTAGGGAATATAAACCTGGATGCGCGTATGGAAATGTCAAGACACATAACCCTGGAAACCCACTTCGGCCAATTATCAGCCAGATACCCACACCCACGTACAGACTGGCGAAGCGACTCAACAGCCTGCTGACTCCTTATGTCCCTTGCGCCTTCAGCCTGAAGTCTCCAGAGGAATTTGTTGACTTACTGCGGGGAACACAGGCCACAAGGTTAAGAGCCTCGTTGGACGTAGAATCACTGTTTATCAACGTACCTGTGGATGAAACAATCGGGATGATAGCAGACAGAGTGTATTGTGATCCGGCCTGTACTCCTCTTGACAAACCAGAAAATATTCTAAGGAAACTACTCCAAGCTTGTACTAAAGAGGCACCCTTCTTGAGCCCAGATGGGCACATGTATAAGCAAGTAGATGGGGTCGCCATGAGTTCTCCCCCTAGGTGTCCTGTTTGCGAACTTCTACATGGTTACCATCGACCAAAAGGTCTTAGTCGACATGAACTTGAATCCGGCCATATACTGCAGGTATGTTGATGACATTTTTACACAGGTACCTGATGTCAGACATTTGCAGGAGCTGAAGGAGGCATTTGAGAAGATTTCTGTGTTGCGTTTCACTTACGAGATGGAGAAGGATGGGAAGCTGCCCTTTCTAGACGTAACAGTCATGGAAAGGAGCGGAGGTTTCCACACTGCAGTCTACACTAAGGAAACAAACATAGGAATTTGCCTAAATGCAAACAGTGACTGCCCAGACAGGTACATGAGGAGTGTTGTTAACGCTTATGTCGACCGTGCTCCTATCCACAGCTCAGGATGGAAGCAAGTCGTTGAAGAACTCTGTAGGGTACGGCAGGTCCTAGTCAACAACGGCTTCTCCAATGGTTTCGTTGAAGACACCATAAGAAGAAAGGTGAAACGCCATACAACCTCTGAAGAGACAACTAACACAACACCTATACCCCCTATTAGACTATTTTATAGGAACTTCTTTTCCACAGCTCATAAAACGGAGGAAAGGGTCCTGAAAGATATTGTTAATAGAAACGTTATCCCTACAAACAAAAATCAGAAGATACAACTGACGATTTACTATAAAACCAAAAAAAGGCCAGCCTACTCATGAGAAACTCTCCAGACACAAAGCAGAACGCTTTAAAAGAGACCAACGTCGTCTATGGCTTCAAGTGCCCACTTGGGGACTGTAAGCCTCAAAGAACTCAGTATATAGGCAAGACAACAACATCTCTTTCTAGGCGATTAATGATGCATAAGCAACAGGGCTCCATTAAGGAACATATAATCTCTTCCCACTACCAGACCATCACCAGAGAAATCTTAGCAAACAACACAGAAATCATTGATATATACAGCGATACCAGGCGGCTTGACATCTGCGAGGCACTACACATAAAGAAGTCAACACCAGCAATCAACAGCCAATTAATGCACTACGATATTCTACCCACTTCAAGACTCCGCTCCAATATAGAAGCATCAAGAAATATGGGCCAATAGGCCCTCTGCAGTTCCATTCTTACTTTCAATTTACCCAATTAAGACCCATTGTTTCATGTTCTGTCTTGTGCTGAAAGTTTTGTTCACCTCATCCAAAACTGTTGTAACATATCACCTCACCCAAAATGCGGGTATAAAATAAAATGAAAGCTGTTTAAATCATAGTCTAGTAAGAACTCTGTTTAGTGTTTGCAGGTTATAGTTGTGTGTGTGTAAACTAAAAGTCTTTGAAAATGTAATAAGTTATTACGAAACGCGTTCAAGTGTCGCGTCAGACTAGAAATAAAAATGAATTTTGGAGAATTGATTTTTCAATTACCATCAACAGTGAAAAGAAATATTGAGAAAATTCGTGTTACAATTATTAATCTTACTTTTTTGGTCATATATAATAATATATGTCTACAGGAAAGACTGCTATCAAAATATACTAATATATATATATATGTATATATATATATATATATATATATATATATATATATATATATATATATATATATATATATATTTATATATATATGTCGTACCTAGTAGCCAGAACGCACTTCTGGGCCTACTATGCAAGGCCCGATTTGCCTAATAAGCCAAGTTTTCCTGAATTAATATATTTTCTCTAATTTTTTTCTTATGAAATGATAAAGCTACCTATTTCATTATGTATGAGGTAATTTTTTTTTTATTGGAGTTAAAATTAACGTAGATATATGACCGAACCTAACCAACCCTACCTAACCTAACCTAACATATCTTTATAGGTTAGGTTAGGTTTGGTAGCCGAAAAAGTTAGGTTAGGTTAGGTTAGGTAGGTTAGGTAGTCGAAAAAACATTAGTTCATAAAAACTTGGCTTATTAGGCAAATCGGGCCTTGCATAGTAGGCTGAGAAGTGCGTTCTGGCTGCTAGGTACGACATATATATATATATATATATATATATATATATATATATATATATATATATATATATATATATATGTCGTACCTAGTAGCCAGAACTCACTTCTCAGCCTACTATGCAAGGCCCGATTTGCCTAATAAGCCTAGTTTTCATGAATTAATGTTATTTCGACAACCTAACCTACCTAACCTAACCTAACCTAACGTTTTCGGCTACCTAACCTAACCTAACCTATAAAGATAGGTTAGGTTAGGTTAGGTAGGGTTGGTTAGGTTCGGTCATATATCTACGTTAACTTTAACTCCAATAAAAAAAATTGACCTCATACATAATGAAATGGGTAGCTTTATCA